TGCCAGTATATCTAAAAGCCCTCTCAGAAGTCAACTTTTCTCTCCTGAATTCCCCTCGTTGTGTCTATAATATTAGATTTTGCTGCTGATCAGGGTGCCAAGCACAGGCTTATACTCAACATCTGTGTCTCTAGATCATACACCTCCAGTGAGTTGCCGTGTTTTATAAGTTTGTTCTTTAGAACGGCCTTACTGTTCTTTGTCAAGATTTCTTTGGGTAGTCAAGGTCTTTTTTGGCTCCCTACAAATTTTACTATGGTTTGTTCTATTTCTATGAAGAATGCCATTGGAATTTTGATAGGGATTATACTGAATCTGTAGGTTGCTTTGGGTAGCATGGACGTTTGAACACTATTAATGATTACAACACATGAGCATGCAATACTTTTCCATATTTGTGGTCAAAATAGCACAAAACTAATCTTGTCTTCAGTCGCAGCTCTCCAATTACTGCACTTGTCTTCCTCAAATGGTTTTTTTTTTACTCTTTGGATTTTGTTATTCCCTTAATCTGAAAATTTAAGGGGCTTCATGCTCTCCCCAAGATGACAATAGTCTTAAATTACATCAAAGAACTTACATGTGGACCTGAGGCCAACTCCAAACTTCATTACTTAATATTCTCCAAGTAGAATTTCCTAGTTCACTGGAGACCCATCTTTCTCCACCGACACTGCCCAATGTGACTTTACTACTCATTGTCCCTGCCTGCCCTGAAATTCAATTTCCAGTTTAATCTTCCTAAAAATCAACTCCAATCAGGCCACTTCCCTACTTTGGAGCACATTTTTACACTCTATTGCCTAGTGATATAATTACAGACTCTCCTTGGCAGCTCCAAATCTCTAACTCAGTAGTTCTGATTCATTCCTCTCGTTCCGCACAGTTCACAGAACACTGCACCACCGTGAGTTATGTTTCACTTTTTCTACTANCGTTCCGCACAGTTCACAGAACACTGCACCACCGTAAGTTATGTTTCACTTTTTCTACTATAATCTTCAAGGAACAAAGCAAATACATTCAGGGGTACACAGCATTTCTTAATGGAATAATCGTAACATACATATAACCAACACTTCTCTAGTGCTTACTATGTGCCAAGTACTTTTTGAGCATTTTAAAAATTATGAATTCATTGAATCCACCTAAGAGTCCTATGAGGTAGACACAATTATTGTTCCATTTTACAGATGAGGAAACTAAAGCACAGGAAGGGTAAGCAGTTTTACCAGTGCCTCATGGTTAATAAACGGCAGAGCTAGAATGTAATCGCAGATAGTCTGCAGTCTACACGCTTAATCTCTCTGGCATGCTGCCTCTCTCCTTGGATTTCTGCCACCCACCGCCTACCACCCCTTCCCCAACACTGGAGGCTAAGAATTACTGAGCTCAGTCATTTTTATCAAGGTTCAAAAAGGTCCCATTCTATTTTTAAAGTGGCCTGAATCCATCAAGCCTCCAATGGCTCTTACTTTTCTGATCTCCTAGATCACCCTTCTCAGGCATCACTCATGGCTTGCTTACTATATATCATCTTTGTTGTTACCAAACTGTGTGATGTATATCACATCTCTCTAATTCGTAATGGACACTGCAACTTGCTCTTCTGATTTCCCAATTTTGTTTATAGTCCCCCTACTCTAAGTTCAAAGTCACCGCTGTCTCCTCTCTCTCTTGCCTAGTCCATATTCACATACAATTCACTTCTAAGTTTTGGTTCTTCGTGTGTCCTTGATACCACACTCTTTATCTTTTCCACCTTTTCTATCTACAGTGAGAGATGCCTCACCCATTAATTGGCCGAGGGTAAGCAAGCATTGTGTTAGTGGTTCTTATATTGCTTGAGATTCTCATTACCCTTTCTCCAACTTATGTGGGCTTCTGAACTCCAGTCTTAGACCCCGGGTATTCACTGACAGTTTAATTTATCTAAGGAAGATCCTCTGTCCTGCTTCTGTCCATCACTCTGCCCTCCCTACAATTGTCTGCTGAAATGAGAACTCCTTAATTGGTGCCAAAAGTCTACTTATCACAACATTGACTTGCTTTTCCAACTTCATCTCCCATTGCTCTACTACATATGTTGTACCTTCTAAACACACCAGACAAAATGCTACTCCCATAAAATGTCCTGTTTTCCCCCCTCCATATTTCTGCTTGTGAAATTTATTTTAAGAAATGCTATCCCTCACCCTGCCCTCTACCTTCACGTGTTGGCACATTCCCAAAGGGGTGTCCAGAAGGCAGCCGATCAATGACTCTCTCATCATTGATGTTTCTATCTCTCTCTTCCTCTCCCTTCCTCTCTCTGAAATCAACAAAACTATATTTAAAAAAAGAAAATATGAGTCATTGTTCTAACAGTCTTACCCATCATTTTGCAAATGACCTAAATCAGAAGCTAGGATGAGTTAAGAAAAAGCCTTCTAAGTTCTAGGCCACAGGAAAGACATATTGAGATTGAATAAGTAGCTCCTGGTATCACCTTTAAAAATCCCTAAATCTAGACTCAATATTTATCTGTTTTTTCCCTATACATTTACTTTAACAATTGTCTCATTGTTTAGCATGAACCCCTGACATCTCTGAAGCATAGTTTCCTTTCCTGTAAAACCAGGATAATAATACCTCTTTTATAAGATGGTTATGGAGATTAAAAGAAATATAGGTCAAATTTGATAATATATTATATCTAAAAATTAACTATTCGATACAAAAGGTACTGGAAATGTGTTGAGCTGCTTCCTCCTGTTATGGGTTACCATGACCCACCTACCTGAAGGGGCCTGGGGTCCACGAGTGGAGTTGCCTGCGGGAGTGGGCTGGGCACAGAGCAGAGACCCCCACACCATTGGCCTTAGGGGCGTAAGGAGCCTCTGAGATGGACAGTCCCTCTTTTGTAAAAAGAAAAGGCTGGTAAGTGAAGTAGGATGAAACCCTTCCATGGCCTGGAATTCTGCCCGCAGTGAGGACTGAAATCAAGTTCAGAAGGAATGGGGTCCTCACTGAATTTCAGTCCCTCAGTGACGTCTCATGATCCACATAAAACATCCCCTGCCTTCCCTCCCGCTCCACCGGCTCCCCACTCGAGACCGTGCCCCTAGGATAAAATTGTGCCTAGAGACCGAGCTGAGCCCCAGGTGGTGAGTGAAATGGCTCCAGCCGGCTGGGCCTGTGCAGCAGGCACGACCTGGAAGGAACCGGCTCTGCCCGGTCCCCTCCCACACAGTCTCTAAAGTCAGCTTTGTCTTAGGAGAAGTGAAAAGAAGGGGAGGGGGAGGGACATGAGAATCCATTGAATCAACAGACACACAGCAGTTTCCAGGGAGCATTACAGATCCAAACGCGCTCGAATTCAATCTTCTATCCCTCTTCATTTCTTATTATTTGCTGTTTTTCTTCCTCTGATCTCTCTCTTTACCTTCCCCTTGCTCGGTAGCCTCCCTCAAACACTGTTTCCAGTTACAAGGCTTTTAAACATATATTGCTAACCCTATGTGATTAAACAGGGTGAGGAAGTCATCTCAATTCACCACAAGCTGCAGAAATAAGCCCTTTTGAAGGAAGTGGAGTTTTATCACCCTTAGGGATACACCGAAACGCTTGAGAGCAGTGGCGGAGCCCGGTGCTTAGGAAAGGAGTGGCTGCCTTGCAGATTTACTGTTTGAGATAATATATGTGTTTTTGCCTTTTAAGACCTTTACTCTTTAAATAGGCTAACATTTATTTCTTTACAAATTGCTTAGCAAACATTTTTTGTTATTTGAACACGGTGGATATTGGGATATAAACGCAAATCTTGGTTGTTTAAAACTTAGTGTTAAGGAGGTCAAGACCAGGCACTAAATCTTCTGATCTGCCAGTTGTCCCTGTCGCGTGGCCCCGAGTGTGCCAACAGCCAGCTCTGGCCGTAAGGAGCCTTAGGGGAGAGGAGGGGGTGAGTCCGTCCAGTACGCCTCCAGGTCATCGGAAAGGGGCTCTGTTTTCTTCAGCTGCGCCTCGTGGTTCGTAGCTTCATCTTTCTTTGTGAGCCTCAGTTATCTTATAGAATTTCAGTGATCATTTTAGGGCCATCATGGTTATTTTAATCATGTATTTATTTGATATTTCAACTTTCTGCTCTGTAGTGGTGTCACTTAAAATGAAGCCAGCGTTTTCTGTTTTCATGGCATTTCTCATTGTGTATTTATATCCTGCTTGTTAAGGCTAATAATACTGTGTGAGCACAGAATTGCATCTGAACTCGGAAGGTAAAATAATGACCCATCTCATGAGATGAGTGATTTTTTTTTTTTTTTTTACTAACTTCTCGTTCCAACTTAGAGTGCTTTTCCTCTTTGATTAAAATGTATTTCTCAATTAAATTAAAATGCAAATACAGACAGGCTCTGTTTATGGTTATAATAGAATTATTTAAAGGAGGTTTTAATTTAACTTGCTGTTAATATTTCATGCAGGAACTGTTGGTTTTATTGTTGGGTTCGTCCTGCCATGTTCCATTTTCAAGATTACGTAAAGTGCTGTGAAAACTTAATCATGCTGCCCAGATTTGATCAGCTTCTGCCCTCTCTTCTCTAGGATGTTAAAATGGACTGCTTTCCTGTACACTTTATAAGTTATGTCAGAGATGTAGAAATATCAGTACTAAAACTTTAGAACCCCTGGACATTGAGTTATAAAAAATTTGCTATTTGTCTTAAATAAATATTTTATTGCACAGAATTGAATCAACTGTTAAATTTAAGAGAACCATATTCTGGATTTTATTATGTGATTAAAGATCTGGGAAAAGTACTTCAAGATACCATTTAGTCCCACCTTTTAATTTATACCAGAAACATAAAACATTTGTAATAGAAATTGCACCTAATGCTACGGATTTCATTATGATACTTTTAGTATTTTTTTAGAAGTATTCTATCAGGTCTCAAGCAAATTGATTAAAATAATTTTTAAATACCTTAGAGCTTCATCTTATTCTGTTTTCTTATTTTTAGAGATCTCAGTGAAAACCAAATTCAGGCAATTCCAAGGAAGGCTTTCCGTGGAGCAGTTGACATTAAAAATCTGTAAGTTGTTGTTGTTTTTTAAATTTATACTGTCTTTTTAAAGCTATCCTATTTTAAAGTAAAATTGATATTAAAGAAAGTGTAATGAAAAGTGGTGAAAGCCCAATGTGTCTTTATGCCTGATCAGGAGAGCTTGTAACGTAAGTTTTCTGTTGTTTTCACAACTATCTGAAGGGATTCTCGTTCAGAAGGCGTCTTGAATCTGAACTTGTTATCAAATTCATTCTTCAAACCTTGTGATTAATCTTGTTAAGTCTAAGGAAGTGATATGATTAAAAGGTATTTGCAGTGTATTTTCTGCCTTTTACTGTCAGCTTATTTCAGTAACTCCCTTTTCAGTTGTTACTGGTATTTATTGGATATGCAGAATATAAACTATTTTTCCCAAAACAGTACATAATATTTTCTCATTAGAGATACCTGTAGCCTAGAGCTACAGCTTTTTAAAATAGCTTTTAGATCACCATTTCCATTAAATGCCTAAAGTGTGAGAGTAAGGAAATTATGCCTTTCCCTTTGTGTAAATATTTTTCTTACATCTGTTTTCCTTTAGAGCTTTATGAAATAATATATGTATAACCTTTTTTAAAAAGAAGGAAGAAACAAGAAAAAAACTGTCTTTCTGTATTTTCCCGTGATAAATCTTTAATCTGTAGTTGTGTGTAGAAGTGTTTTATAAGTACCCACGGCTCTGGAGATACATATCAAATTTAAAATCTCAGTGACAATACTAATATTGCCAGTATGTATTTTTATAAATTTTAAAATATCATGCTCTCCTTTGAAAATGATGATTTTGGACTGACTGCTAAACCCAGGACATAAAATGTTTTCTGTATCCTTCGCATTAGTTTGAAATGTAGAGGAGAAAAGCCCCTGAGTGCTAAGATTAACTCTCAGGAATTCAATATTTTTTAGCTAGTAATAACCAGGGCAGGGACTTTGTCAAGAATTAACTTTATTCAGAATTCGCCATGGTGGGATCCAGTGTGATTTTTCTCAAGAGCAGAAGTGAGACACATGTTTTTCCCCGTCAAAGAGGATGACTGTTTATAAAGCTACAGATTTTGGCCCCTATGGATTCTCTTCAGTGTCAAAGGTTTTCTTTTAAATTTGCACGTTCTAAATGTACAGGTAAAGGGGGAAATGCAGGCTTCTAGATGTGACTGTGTAGGGCCATTAGACTCCTGGCCCTGGGATGTTATGCGTGTTGACGTGCTCAGAGGGTTTTCTTTGCTCTCCCCTTTCTCTCCTTCAGCTGGGGCTCGGGGGGGCCCTCAGGTAGACTCGCTGGCGGGTGCTGAGACGGCCCCTGCATATTGTGCTGGAACAGAACCATCTAAGGCCCTGTGTTGTCCCTACTCGAGTTGCCTGGGTGTCCTGTAAAAGGAGAGTAATGGCTCCGGTTGACTGCCCTTTGGGAATGCACTTACAGCCTTACCATAGCGTTCTCTCTAAATCCTCGAAACAGGTGGCTTTTACTCCTTAGGAAGGATATTCCGGGAACCCAAGTCTACAAGTAATCCTTCTGCCAAATTTAAGGATACATTTGGGAATGGGCTACAGGTCACGGTGGGATTCTTCCCTATGCCCTCTTGGCTTATCCTTAAAAAATGTGTTTTTAAAAGTTTAGAGATAACAAAAAAAGTGAGATGCTAGCCCCGTGCACTGAAAGGAATGCATTATCGACTTAGCTGGATTTTTGAAAATCTCTTTCCCCTACATGCATTTTTCCCCCTCCCCAAATTTAAAGGCAGTACTTACGTACGCAGTGAGGTGAGGGTCCAGCTCCAGTCTCAGAATCTGTTGCTATTTATTGAATTTGTAGCTATGACAAGTCAGGCAACCTCACTAAACCTTTGTTTTCACTTTTATAAAATGAATATAATAATTGCTTGGGTTTGTTGTGGGTATTAGGGAAAGGAGATACATAAAACACTGTTTAAAACAGTAAAATGCCTATGATACAGAGTGTATTTCACCCTGCAAGTATTCACTCATCCATGGCTAGGATTTAGGCTTGGAAAAGGTAGGGTAAGAAGACTGAAAAGCAGGACATAAAGGAATTTGCAATATTAGGAATGGATAAGCGACCCATGTCTACTATGGGCCATTTAGACATGAGCCACAGAATGGAAAAAGGAAATATATCAGGAAGCACTAAATGGGTCACACGAGACCCTGACACTAAGTGCTGTAGGTGCTGAGGAGAGAAAGAGATAAAAAAGATTGCTGGAAGTTATCAGGGAATTCTTTAAGGAGTTTCTATAAGAAAATATGAAGGAATCTACGATGAGATTGGATTGGAGTGTGCATTGATGAGCAGTGGTTAGGATGGATTGAGGAAGCCAGGATTTATTAAAAGGCTGTACATGCATAACCCATGGACACAGACAGTAATGTGAAGGCCTGGGGTTGGGGGTGGGTGCGGGTCAATGGGGAGAAAAGGGGGACATCTGTAATTCTTTCAACAATAAAGATAAATTTAAAAAATTAAAATAAAATTACAGCTGAGGTGGTAAATTTTTTTTTAAAGAAAAGGCTGCAGGAAGATAGAATTTATTCCCACTATTTTTACTGCCTTCCATGTAACAATGGGAAAGAACATAAGAGCAACATTGAAATACCACAGTGCATTTCCAGGTTTATTGAATTCATCAGGATCATAGCTGCGGTCTTACAGAATTTTACCATGAAAGGGCACTTTTCTGTAATTAAAAAATAGTTCGAATACATTGTCCAAAAAAAAAGTCCAATTCCATGGGTCTTTGTATGAAGTTTCGTTTTCTCGTTAGAAGGTAAGTATATCTATTTAATCTGAGGGTAAGTGTGAATTCATATTATTATTAAACTGGTAACCGTAAGGCATCACATAACGCCTCAGTGGAAGCCCACATATGTCAGCATTATTACTATTAGTCACATTCCGTGGGGGAAGGAGAGGCACAGTGCCTTGTCCTGTTTGCATTCCAGCGTATGATTTACAGTTGGGACAATCCTTTATGGAGCCACGGTGGCTACTGGTCCCCGTCATTCAGGGAGCCAGGAGAAAGCAGAAGGTTAGACAGGGGATATGTGCTTGGCTTCATCTAGACGGGGTTCTGCACAGTGCTAACAGGCTGATTGGATTTACCGCGTCCAGGCCTTAGTCGGAGCAAATCCCAGGCATCGGAAGACTTTCACTGGAGGAACCTGCTTCAATCGTGTGGACGGTCCGGCTATGCGCTCGGCTCAAGGCCGCATCCCCACAGCATGAAACCCATGCTGGGGAAGGTCTGCAGATCAGCAGATGTAAGCCTTCTTCCTGCAGGCGAGCCACACAGAAACTACGCCGGACACAGGGACATTTATCTTGCTCTTAAACATCCCCAGGGAGCACTTCCTGCACCTTTTTGGCTTTTCTCTATTAATTTCTTAATCAGATTAAAAACCTTTATATTTGATCTTGTTACCTAATTTTCTCCAGCTGCAACTGAAGCCAGTTTCTTTTTCCTGACATTTTAGACGGTGAGATCCGAGAATAATAAGATCATATTAAAATATCAGCTAAATTATAGTGTTTGTAATAGTCCCTGGCAGCGCTTTTCCATAAGGTTTCCATCTGTGTTTTCAAACTCCCCAATCAAGTGTGAATTAAAGTATTGATACCGTGTCATTACCAACCGATGCCTCTCGGGATGGTAATCACTGTTTACGTGCGGTTCTTCATCAGCCTCGCACATATCTCACGCACTTAGCGCCGATGCAGTAGAGCCTCGGCTGCCTGCTGATCGCATCTCTAACAAAGACGTGTCACATCACACCGCTGGTTTTTTTAAGCAAGGATTTACGCGGTATTTCCATTTAATTGAATAATTTAAGAGAACATTCAAATTAAACCTTGCTTTATCGCTGAGGCTTGCAAGCTGATTCTCTAAGCACGTACTTTATGGGATAAAAATCCTCCAAAAGTCTCTTGTATTTATGAGAAAACATTCCCACTTATAGGCATCTCAGGATTTAAATTTTAAAATGTACAAATTTAGTATATGAAATTAAAAATTAAGTAGATTGCAAGTTGTTCTTCATATCACAAAAGCAAACTCTAACATCCTTTACCATTGGCTCCTTTGGTGAGTTCAAGACGGATACTTAAAAACAATTAAATTTCAGCAAGCATTATTTTAGCTATACCGTGGCATATAAATCGCACTTGCCTTTTTTCTAATTTCATTTTGTCGCACATCCTCCAAATGTACTCTGTGTTCCAGCCAAACTTTACTTTTTACTGTTCATAAATACATTCCTTTCCATTTCCTTGCATTATCCCAAATCCATTAACCCTACCTCTGTTACGAGCCTTACCACCCTTTTCCAGGGAAACTGCCTCTTGGTAAAGGTAGTTTAGGGAAAATATTATAGTTATCCTTTTTTATTTTGACATACGTAAGTTTATAGACACGGGCTTAAGTTCAAGAGGATCTTGCCTGGTTCTCTTGGAGTAAATCATGGTATCATTTGGGAAACCGATATGTATGGCCGTGATGTTTTAGGAAACAAATCACCCAGTTTGGGTTGCAATGATTATTGGCAATAAGAAGATTTGGCAAACAGGAGAGTTAATTTATATTGTTATTATATATTTTCCATACAAATCATACAAATGCAAGCCTGACTTTAGCTTTGTCACTTAATTTAAGTCATAATTGCAAAATGTCTGCCGTAATCAGCTAGTTTACATGTTTAGTGCATAACATTTCTTTTCATACTTGCATTCTTATTACATACCTATTATAAAAATAAAACCCATTGATATCAAATTTAAATTGTAGTTTTTAGTGACCCCAACTCTTTTCTAGAATGTTTTCAGTAAACTGAGGCTGAAGAGACTTAGAAGGGGAGGTTGGTTCCTCATTCAAGGGACCTGCTGTCCTTAGTGTTGGATTAAATGCCTCAGGTCTTCAGTGGGACATAGAACCTTCTGAACAAACCTATAGAAATGACTCTTCATTTAGATAGAG